TTAGTAAATCAGTCTCAAAACAAGATCAAAAAGACTTTTTGGCTGGATATAAGATTTTAAAACTTGGTTAGATGGACATTTTTTGCAGTGTAAGTGGCAACAGCACAATATAAAATGTCAGAACAAGTTAAAACAAGGACACAACACAGAGTAGAGTTAAATATATTGTAACACTGTTTGTTGTCTGTGAGGCTGACACTCTGTCTACGTTTAAGATTAGACTCAAGACTTTCCTTTTTGATAAATCCTATGGTTAGGGTTGGTTTGAGTTATTCCTTTCACTTTATTACAAGACTGTAATAAAAGATTGAACCCAATCTGCTGGCTTCTTTAGATTTATTGTTTTTTGTACAGTGCCCTGGTATGTTTGTTGTGACTTGGCGCTACATAAATAAACTGAAATGATTTGAATTAGTTAAATAAATCACACTGCATGAGCTGAATTCAAAATATTCATGTCAGTTTGTGTGAATCTAAAACATCTGAAGGATGAATCATGTGTCTTGATTTGACTTCTATTGATTTGATCGTTTAAGTCGTCACCACAGAGAGYCAAATACAAACAAAACAACGTTACTTAAGAGTTACTTTAGTGATTTCAGAGAATAAACGGGGTGTGGCCATCCTGATATTTGTAATYACAGTACCTTGCCCTTCTTTTTCCTAGAAGCCACCATTGCTTCATCCTCYTCCTCCATCAGTTTGAGAGCCAGATCCTTGTTCACTTTAGGCAGCTTCTGTCTCAGTCAAAAAATATTTCACAGAAGAGAGAAAAAACAAAACATTACTGACGTCTTCCCATGAAATTTCTCAGATTGCTGTTTCCTGGAGATCAATTTTTTTTTCACATTTGTAATGAGTAAGACAGGATGTGTAGAAAGTGTGTTGAGCAACAGCTCGGTTGGTATTAACCAGAGTAATCCTGTTTGATCAAAGCAGTTAGTGAGACTGATGCATTTGAAAAAAATGGAAGGAAGAAAAAAAAAAGAAGAATATGAACTTGTGAAAGTGAATGTAAAGATTTCTGCGCCACAAAACAATAAAACTGTAAACACTTTTGGAAAAATTAAAGACACCATCAGAACTTCTTACCTTAACCTGAACTCTCTGTGTTCTGGACTCTTCAATCTTCTGGCGGATTTTATCCTTACGGTACTCCTCGTATGCAAAAGGATTAGCCATGCTTTTCACCTGGAGCAGAAACAGACATATAAATACAACGTTTATGGCAGCTTTTTATAATCATCTAACTACTATGGGTACTTGTGAATGGGTGTTCTGAACTGTAATTTCATTGTGATCTGTATAATGACAATAAAGGTCTATCTTATCTTATCTTATCTTATCTTATCTTATCTTATCTTATCTTATCTTATCTTACTACAGAACCTATANGTATAATGACAATAAAGGTCTATCTTATCTTATCTTATCTTATCTTATCTTATCTTATCTTATCTTATCTTATCTTATCTTATCTTATCTTACTACAGAACCTATATTGCCAGCTATAAATATATATATAAAAAACTGATGATACAGTAATAAACTTCCAACCTTGAGATAAAGTCGTATATCCATGAAAAAGCCGTGCATGTAGGCTCTCAGGAAAGACGACCCCACAAGATGAGACAAACCTGGGGGAAAAAAAACAACTATTATCACATTTTTTATTGTTCCTGCAGGATGAACCCCGTTACCTTTTATAAACACCACATTGCTGACATGAGATAACTTTTTCATTTTTTCTGTTTATAAATACTTAAACCCTTTAACAATCCTTTGACTTTCTCACTATGAGATGTTAATTATAGGAAGAGTTGGGGCGATCTTCAGCATAATTTAAGATTATCCACACACATCTTTCACGTGGAAGCAAACAAAAGACGTTCATGACGAATCAAAGTTGAGAACATCTGGGAATGTCTCATGTGTAGCTGGTAGCAGCTGGATCCCTGTGACTATCAAAGGAAATATTTGATAAGTTCAAGCCTGCAATCCTGAGAGAGGAGGACACAGAATGTGGAGCAAATTACTGGGAACCTGAATCAATACGTTGTACTCAGAAACCTCAGCGGGGTTACATAAGCGGGCTGCGTTACGAGGCTCCTGTAAATCAACACTGCTGTCCCAGAGGTCCGACCCCCACCCCCGCTTTATTCCACCCAAGCCAACCACCTTTTGGCTTTCTTGTCATTTGATCTCTTAACTGCTGAGGCTGCATTCCAGTGTTCATTCAACCCCTCCAGTGTCATCTCCCTCTACACCCTACTCTTCTTACCTAAAACCTCTCAGCCGCCCTGCAGGCCTTAAATCACACCGAACCATAAAAACTACCCTCTCAGCAGCCGCAGTAAGGCTCCCTTTGATGAGCTTTAAGTAACCCGTGAATCTTTTATTTCAAATGCAACTATCATTTTAGTTCGTGTTTGCTGCAGAACTTTTGGACTTCAATCTCACCCAGATTTTCCAGGTCCTTCCTGGTGACAAACTTGTAGTCATCGTACACGGAGCTCTCGGGGTTCTCCTCCAGCTCCTCCGTTAGGCTGTCAAGGAACGAGCACCAGCGAGGTGCAGGGCCCAGAGCCTGAACACACACACACAAACACACACACGCTGGATTTATATTTAGACTGAAGTCTGAAACTTGTCGTGTTTGTTGAAACATAAATAGACTGTCTGTTCCTGCTCGGGTTTCCATCCCAGTTAAAAATGAGTGACTCTCATTCATTCATTCTAAATGTGGTCTGAACTTAAAACACTTGTGTTGCTGTAAAATTGCTGAAGCTGTTAAACCTTTACAAGATGAGCAGTTCTTTTCACTGTATTATGTAAAACTAAAAATAATAATAATAATATATACACACACATACACACACACAGTAACTAAGTACAAATACTTTGTTACTGTACTTAAGTAGAATTTTTGCATATCTGTACTTTACTTGAGTAATTATTTTTCAGCCTACTTTTTATTTATACTTATTATATTTTCACACAGATATCTGTACTTTCTACTCCTTACATTTTTTAAAAAGGCAAAAAGTAGAAAGTTGTTACTTTTATTTCATTTTTGCTTGTTTTCATTCCAGCTTGTTATTGTAAAAACAATAAATACTAATTCTCCCTCCTAGAGGGAATTCAATTGTGGTTGAATGAGAAGTATAAATA